GCCGCAGCCGACAACTGCGGGCGGGACAGGGCTGGATGCAGGAAACGCAGACCACCGCCGTGCAGGACTCGGGGGCAAGCGAGGGCTTCTGGGTGTCCGCTCCCCGCACGCGCGGGAACTGACGAGGCTTCCTTTTCCCGTGGCCAGAACCGACAGGACTCGTCAGGCTACTGAGGCAAGTCTGCAACTGAACGAGGCGCTCAGCTAGCAGCAACGCAAGAACAGAGCCAGCCTCTTTTCCCTTACTCTCACCCTCTAGCTTAAGGTGAACCTTTGGGTTAAAACACCCGTAGTTCAGAACACGAGCAATACCAGTATGTGCAGTTCTCAGCAGTCACAAGCTTAGTGTTCCTCTAGGAAAAACTCTTCTTAAAAGTAAAGAACATTACGTGCTTGGTAGCTATATAACTTATGAAAGTAAAACTGCATCCTAGTCAACCTGCCCCGAAATCCTCCCTCCTCCCTTCAGTACAGTGCTTTATTTACCACAAGTGCGTTCAGCTTGGACAGCGGCCTGGAGGAAAGTGCTGAAAAGGATGCTGAAGATGGGGTCTTACAGGTGCTGCTCTCATTGTCCTTGGCTTGGACAAGCCGTTGCAGATACTACCATTTCTCTCAGAATTTGGAGAAAATACACACAGCTCGTTAATTCTGGTTGACTTTTCAATGCCGGACACCCTTTTCTCAGCACCTCAGAATACAAGTACGCACCCTTTTGTCATCCAGGTGGGCACAGTCCCTTTCCCAGGCCGCGGCCAACGGGAAGCCGTTAACTTAACTCGCTCTCACGCGAACAGCGATGGGATGCCTCGGGCTTATGAGGGCCAGTTTTCTCGGTGAAGCAGTGGAGGTTCCTCCGTCGGTCAGGCCTCGGGGCCGGGGCGTACAAGAAAGGGCGCGACAAACTCAAAGCTGATGCAGCGCTGCCCAGACGCTGTCTGCGGGAAGCTTGGCCAAAAGTGAAGGCGCTCAGCTACAGAGATGGTCCTTGGCTCAGAGGGAGGGAAGGGGGGAGACGTGAAACTCTCAGACCCCACACCCAAATCCCAAATAACGCTCAAAACTGGTGGGTGAACAGGGATAAAAAATGACAAAGGGACATAAAGTGTTTAGCTCTTTCCTCATGCAGCACATCACGGAAAGATACTGGTTCAAGACCTCGTTCAGCAAAGCCCTCATTTCTTCCCTTCGGTTATCAACCTATCCTCAGCACAGGTGAGCGGCCAATCGATAACCTGGAGAAGACTCCCGCAAACACTTTCCTCGGGACGCCACCTCCCGCTGGCGGAGGACTAACCCCTAGGAACAGCTAAGGTCAGCTACCCACGCAGCGTCTCAGAGCGCCTGGCCGACCCCCCCGGCCTGGAGGAGCCTGCCCGTGCCAAAGCACGGCACCGGTGCCACACAGGCAGCCGGACCGATGTGACAGTGCCGCGACACTTCTTGGTATTAAACGTACCTGAGCTAGAGCAGAAACGGGTAGATGCAGCACTGAAGTTCCTTCTCAAACATTCAGCTACGGAGTTAGAGCATATCTGCTAACAGCCTGCATCCAGAAATACATTAAAACATCTAGCTGCTTACACTGACCCCAAACGTTAGGATCCAGCCCTGTTTACAAAGCACATTACTGTCCTCCACAGGTGCCAACCAAAGACAGACTTGCGTAGACAGTAAATAGGGATGCAAAAGTCTTCAGAAGCAGGAAGGCGCCTCCTTAAGGGGTCTGGATGACCTGGGAAGTCCGCCAGTAAGAACTGGCAAAGGAGAGTGAGAGCAGGTGAAGCGGTGGATCAATATTTCAGTCTGACAAAGTCACGTTTTGCTCTAACGCTTGCCAGAAAAATCAGCTATGAACATAGGGCGCTGCAAATCGTAAGGTGTAAGGGATGCTGCTCTTGCTCTAGGATAGCCTTAGCAAGGCATAGACCCTCCCGGATTAACGCAAGCAAAACCGAGTCAAAAGGAGGAAGATGGAAACAACGTGCGTATGATCAACCAGGAAAGAGGAGCGGAGAAGCCGCAGGCAACCGCGCTCCCTTCCTGAGCCTCCCTGTACAGAAGCCAGTTGTGAAGACGAGACTCAGAACTACGAACGCAACATAAGACCCTTTTCTCCAAGTCTCGCAGGCGAACAAGCAAGCAAACGCAGCGCGACGTTTTGCAGCAGGAGCAGTGCAGCAGCCCACCAGCTCCTGCCGGGACACGCCAAACCAAAACCGCCCGTAAAGAAAGAATTACCTTAGCAGGACGCTATGTGCGGAAGAAACCTGTTCTGCACGTATCTGAAGGCTAAAAAAACGCTGCTTTGTTAAGACAACAGTATAAATCCCTGGGTTTTTCTCTCTTTCATTTTAATTGTTATATTTAGAGGTGTAGTTTAGAGTCCTACTTTCTGAGCTATGAAAAAGTAGGAAATGTTTTTGGATATTTGCACGTTACTCTTGTTTTGATTTCTGGCATGCTAACAATCTTAATTTGCTTAACTTATAGTAACAAATTTTAGTGGAAATGTAGAAATTTCAAAACGTGGCAGACCAAAGCTAGCAACCTTCCCGTTACAGGTTTGTGACAAAGCTGCTAAGAGTCATTCATGGCAGAGCACAGGCAGACAAGAAATGCTGTCACTGTCTTGGCTAACACTTAACGCTCATCTTACATCTTTCTCCTGGCAGAAGCGTTTCCACAGGACAAATCCTGCCAGTTCGCTTCCCCCCCTCATCTCACACACGCACAGCCCCGCTGTAGGATAAGGGCCCTTGTCCTGCTGCGAGCACCGAACGTGCTCAGGCTCACGGGGCGGAAACACTAGCAGGGGGTTGGTTTCTTTTTTAAAAAGGTTACTCCAATGGTAGTGGTGCGCTCAACTGTTAAATTTCCAGGCGAAGCAATGGTGTTTCTTCGAAAGGTGTGCGTGCAGAAAGGAACAACGCACTGGAGAAGAATATAATATTCTTGCAACCCCCAGGCAAGTAATCTTGGAAAGACAGCGGGGCGAGGAGCTCTTCAGCAGGGCTACTTACTGCGTTTGATAGCATTCAGAGTAGTTACTTATTCCCTGATCATCGTCTCGACAGTTTCCAAATTCAGAAGGAGGGAATTCGAAAGGTGTGCGTGCAGAAAGGAACAACGCACTGGAGAAGAATATAATATTCTTGCAACCCCCAGGCAAGTAATCTTGGAAAGACAGCGGGGCGAGGAGCTCTTCAGCAGGGCTACTTACTGCGTTTGATAGCATTCAGAGTAGTTACTTATTCCCTGATCATCGTCTCGACAGTTTCCAAATTCAGAAGGAGGGAAACGGACCGGACAGGCGGACACAGGCGCGCAGGCTGCCCCAGGGCGAGCTCCCACCTGTGACCCGAGAGCTCGCCGACGCCCGCAGGCGCCTCCCCACCCCCCC